GTAGTCGTCTCCACAGTAGCCGTCTCATGGGGGCGATTTGACGTAGTGTCGGGAGCTCAATAACATGAAGCCCCCGAAGTTTAATGGAGTCTTGGATCTGATTGTAGCTATGAAATGGATCACTGATGTTGAGGGATGATTTTATACATGCTCCTATATACCACTTGTGCACAAAACATCACAAAAAATGGTTGCTCTTAACCCAAATCAACCATTATATTGGATGAAAATCGCAAATAGTGTGGGTTTCTCCACAAGGGAACCACTGATAGGTGTGGAAGAATACGATCATTAGAAAATGAGAATTGAGAGATTATTGGAATGAAAAGATAAAGGTGTCAAAATTTGGAGATCTGTCATTGAGGGTCATCATGTTCTTGCAAGACAACTAATTAGAGATGTTGTTGCTAATCTCATAGGTCAAGAAGAGGTTTAACTTACACCTCCAACCTTGATGCACGAAGAAAAGATGCGTGTAGACGACGTCGTGTTTTCCAAAATGGTTTTTGGTATCCATCCATCTCTCTTTGAAGACATCATATTGTGTCAATTTGCCAAGGAAATATGGCATACACTCAAAGATTTGTTTAAGGGTTCAGAAAACATCAAAGACAAGACCTTGACATTAGTGGTGAACAACTACGATACTTTTTCTACATCTCCTGGTGAATCATTGGCTTCTACATCAAATCCCTACAAAAAAAATTGAACAACTCAACTATGCATAGTGTAACAAGAACTCCAATCGAGCATAATCTTAAGTTCATCAACAACCTAGGAAAAGACCGTGGCAAAGTTAAGTGATGTCTTCAAAGAAACGGTTCTCTCAAGAATCTGAATCTCTTTCAAGTTTTTGATGAAATTCAAGGACATGAGTCAAATGTTGCTCAAACTCTAAGGGAACTCTTTGGAGGGCCACTGCCTCTTGTTAACACTGTTAATCCACCCCTTCAGAACTATGCTCTCTTAGATCCATTCACTCCAACTCTTTGGGCTCCACTTTCTAGAGAGAACTATGATCCAAAAGTTGGAGGTGACGAAGTCGAATTCCAACAAGAGTTTTCATTGTTAACCATGAAGTATAGCAAGAGGCCATGGGCAAATAACCAAAATCCCTTTCCAAACAGGTTTTGATAAGATAATCAATCCATGTACCAAGATCCTCACCAAACCAATCCATATTCCTTTTCAAAACAAACCATAAAACCTTCATCCTATTGACTAAACTTTCCAAAAAAATCCACCTCCAGTTTCTCATTCGATCCTTCTTACGAAAAAACCCAAGATTGTTTGTCATAAGTGAGGGCTCAGAAACTAATTTGCTAGGGATTGCCAATAAGATCTTCCTACCAAACCAAAGGTCAAGGATTTAGCCTACTGTACCAGAAGAAAACAAGATCTAGCTGAGAGTGATAGGGAATTCGTTGCCACTGTCTCACAGAATATTTATTGTTATTTGTCATCAGGGGATGAGAAAGATTATGGTGAAGAAAGGAACTTGTGCCAAAAGGCACGAAAAGATGTAGAATGTGACTTCGTGTATTGGTCATCTGGTTCTGATGTTGAAGTTGATGATGTTGAACCAAACTACTACTACATGTCCACAAATGATCCTCCTGGACGGAGCATCATCCAATAGGTGTGAAACATGATCTTTAAAATAACTTTGATATTAATGTTTGTGAACCCTATCCAACTCAAATTCAATCAGATGTGATAGTTTTCCTCAAAGCTTATAAGAATGCCATATATGACAAAGGGAAGATCAACAATGAATTAATTAGACTTGACGCACATGGGTGACATTTCGAATAACACTTATTTGGACGCCCCAGTCACACCTATGTCATCTATACGATAACCAAATGAAGGTTTTCATTCGTTGATCCCTGATTTCACACCTATCACTGTTTCATGTCCTGATTCCACTCAACTTATGCCCATGATATCCTTGGTCCTTAATCAATCTCAACAAATCCCCTGGGGCACAGTAGGTACTAGAGTTTACTTTCCGAAATCTAGTCCTATATACAACTATGTCATTGAGGAAATCATCCCAGGACATGTGTCTGATAAGTCGATCGAAACCACTAGTTCCATCTGGTAAACCATCAATAGTGATTACAATGAAGAAATCATATATGAATGTACATATTTTTTTTCAATTCCATTGTTCCGAAGTCAAAAGTAGTCTCAAAATCTACTCTTCTGATAAAACCCTTTTTAACAATCCTTCGGTTGGAAAATCCTCCAAAACCACCACTATCAAAAAAGGGAAACCATGGCTAAACAAGAGGGATATTGTTCACCCAAAAGTAGAAGCCATAAAAGCCTTAGAGTTTCTATACTAGGTCTAGACTTGACTCTAGCTTCATTGATAAAGCAAAGAAGAGTGTGTCACCAACTGTAGTTCATCAGACCACTAGGAATCATAATACTTTTCTCCTACTAAGATCTTAAAAATATCATCAGTTGCTAGTATTTCTAGCACTTTTGATTCTAGTATGGAAAATCCCAAAAGCTTAAATTTATTTATGTCAGTACATCATCCAAAAAACCTCATTCCCCTCAAACATTACCATCTTCAAGATTTCCATTGGTTTCTCATTGCCCTTGGAAATTACCATTCCCTATATTGTCTTTAGTTACACATTCTCCTCGGAAATCATTATCTCTGAGATTCACTGCCACATCTAAAGGAAGATCTACAAGAATGAACACGCTTCAAAATCCAAAGCCTTTGTTCGTAGTTTAATCAAAGAATAGAATATCAAATCGACATGGGAAAAAAAGCTTCCAACTGAATCCATTACGAAATATGAATGGAAAATCAAGAAAACTACTCCATCACCTAAAATTGAATTTGATTTTTGGATAAAAGAAAAGACTCACACCTTTTGTATTTTTCCAAAAGAACATAATAAAAAGTTGTCTCAAAGTCCCACTATTATGAAGTCATCGACCAACTCCAAAGACCAACTTAAAGTCCATGTTGCTAACAAGGAGCTTACGATCTCCAAATTTATATAAAGTTATGTGTAGAAGAACAAGAAACAATATGGTATATTGATAGTGATTGTTCTATACACATGACTGACAAGATGGACTTCTTGTGTGAATATAAGCTTTCTTCTAAAGGTGTTTACGTTACTTTCGGAAACAACACATATTGCATCATCAGAGGTTATGGTATCCTCACCAATGGAAACTTCACTACTAGAAAAACAACCTTTACGACATGCAATTTATGATATGCATTGATTTACGATACGCAAAAGTGTGTGCCCTAAAAGTAATGTCATATCTCTATAAATTTGAAGGATTTAGGATGCGCATTTTTGCGTGCCCTTAAATTAGTGTCTAAAAAAATAATGGGGCGCATATAATAAAATATGTGTCGTTTGAGGATGTCGCTTTATAAATTTTCACGAAAACGCGCGTTCCATCCTTTAATAGCTAGGGGGAAATAAAATCCTAAAAAGTTAAAATCCCCGCTTTCCTTTTTCTTCCTTTCCCCTCTTACCCTAATTATCGATGCTCCTTCCTTCCCCCTACTGACATTGAATGCCACCTACTTCTTCCCTCGCACTTCGACAATCGTTACTTGCCATTCCTAGTCGTCGACGTCGATCAAGGCAAACATGCCACCAGCCAACAACCTTCATTCTCTCCTTCTCCTTTTCTCTATAAACCCTAATCCGCCTCCACCACTATCGAATCCCTTTTGTTTATCCTAAAAGAATAATGCAACCAAGCTCGTATCTCAGATCAAGTACTCCAACGTGGAGTTAAGAATTGAGGGCCCGCTTCAGGTTCACATCCTCGTTGACGTGGAAGTATCATTATCTAGGGCTTTTTCAAGGAGTACTCTACCTCAACTCACCTCTAACCTCGGCTCACCTCTTTCCGTTGGTGACCTCGAGCTCACTTCACCTCACCAGAGACTGCAACGATTACTCAAGTTTACAAGCCCTAGGTTATATTAATATTGAAGTTAATTGTTATAGAATTTTGACTTGAAGAAGAAAGAATGTTTTATGGACGATCATACCACCATGTTTGGATCCATAAAAGAAAACAATCTTGAATTCAGTAGTCCTAATCTGTCCTCTTTAACCCTTTTGGATTTTCACCTTCTTACTTTAGTTCCACAGACGTATTCATGGGATGTTTTGATATAATCGTTTCCTCAGAGGAAACAAATTTGAACCCTCTTGATAATTATCAAGAATTCTTCGAAGATTGATTAGTTCAAGCCTTTGACTATTGAACGAGAAATGCATAATGGACACAGACCTTCTTGTTCAACTATGGCTTCCAGTAATTAGACAAGGCAAACATGGGGCCCATGTGAAGGAAGATCCGGGCCTATTTCCGTGATTGAATCCGCTTCGTATGTGTTCGATCCGGACATTTTAAGGTTCTTTGAGGCAACCTTAACCCAACAGCTCGTATCAGGAGAAGGTATTACTGGTAAAGCATTGGGTACAAACCAGCAGCTCGTATCAGTAGCTCGCAGGTTGTCTATCATTAGCCACACACCGTGATTTATAACAGGGCTGGATATACCTTATGTCTGCAACAATCTGGTACTTAGTCACTTACAAGTTTCACGTTTTTATGTCATCTTTAGTCCCAATTCACTTTCTAGCCAATGCAGGTAATTTTGATTTTTTTTTCTTGATATATGAATTATAAATTGAGTAAATCAAAATCTTGATAAAAACTAAATAAAATAGAGTGGGTCTACATGGTAGGATTGAAAACCGAAGTATGTTTTTACCCTTCTATTTCCGGCAAACTGAAGGTGGTGATGATTCATGGTGTTGTCTTTAGTCCACAAAGACTTAGAGTAGAGGCAGACTATGTATTAAAATTTGTACTCCATCTAACTGTATTTTCGATTCTTTATGTTTCCTATCTTTTTTGAACTTTTTATTTAGGGATTTTTTTTCATTACTTTCTTCTATTGAATACCTGTATTGGTGATGTATCGACCAATGTTAAATATTCTGATGGATTCTTGTATTGGTGATGTATTGACCAAGTTTCTTGATGTATTGATGATAATTTTAGATATTCTGATGAAAACTGAAGATCCCAATTCAAATTTTCCAGACCCTTTAACTTCATCATTTGAGATAGATAGTACCGGGAGAGGAATTGTTCCAAGGTTTTCTGTTGATCATGAAGTTAACTCAAAGTTTTGTTTATGGAGAGGAAGCCCTTGGAATTTGGAGGCTGATGTTGTTGTCAATTCCATAAACTATGACATCTAAGGTAGCCTGAGGAGTTTGATTGGCTTCATGATATGGCTAGTTTCTGCACGGGAGTTAGAAGCTGCTTGGAGGAGTTTCAGGATGTGAAGTATCTAAGTGATTCATCATTGAATCAGATACATGGTAAGAACTTAATTTGGCAGTATATACAATTTCTAGATCTCTCAAAGAACATGTTACACTTGTAACTTGTTTACTAAAGATCATACTGAACATCATCATGCAATTTTGTTTTGAACCTTTTATAATGAGAGTGTGAAAGGAAGTGATTGATTCTGTCCATTTAGATCTACAAAGATCTCTGAACTATTGATACTTGATACTTTTTAGAAAATCTAACATAAAATTTTGGAGATCTCTTCCAATCTGTTATATAATAATCAACTGATGAGCAACTTTGCTATTCCATGCAGATGGAGTTATATCAATTGCCACTAACAGTAAGTATCATTCTTCTTGGATTACATTTTTCGATTTTAAATTTAAAATGTGCATTTGAGTGAGATTTATTTTGTCATCATTTGAACTTTACAGGAGTTTGTGATAATGAAATATTTCACTACAATATAAATTTGAAACAAAAAGATTGCACAAAAAGGCTAGCAACATTACCTCTAACCCCCAAAAATGGTGCAACATTCAGGCATGCTATTACTATTAGCAACAAGGCTTTTTAAGTTAGTTTAATTCCAAAACGATCAAGATATTTATTTATTGATTGCTTTCTTCCAGTGGGACTAATGTATCATTCTCAACATTTCATAGTATCAATGTTTTACTAGAAGACATTACTTGCTTTTTCCAGAAGGTTAGTTGTTTCATATCAACAATGTAATGACCCAATAATCTTTTATTCTTTTTGGCTACATCACCTAATATTTTTCTTTTTGTGCTTTGTTTGTATGATTAATTCTGCAGATGCTCATTATGAAGATTCCTGTAAGTATCAGTTCAAACTCGTTATTATTTTCTTGAAAACATTGATGTAATTCGTTCTTCAATCTGAATGGCTCTACTTTGTATTTTATTTATTTGTTTTTTGTTTAATAATCAATACTTATTTTACACCCTCCATACATTTTATAACAGGGTCCTGAAAACTCTGCCTTTGTGATAAGTATTCACAAACAAATTATCTGGAGACTTCATGGTATGGTCCAACAGATTGAATTTAGTAGATTCGGTGATAATACAATCATTTTTATATTTTATATTTAATGATTATACAACAGCGAACGATCTGGCTCAGTATTGGAGGAAATAGTTGAAGCATTATGTGGACATGTGTCAGGTGATTCTCCAATGGTCAGACGTCTATGTCTAAGAGGACTTGTCCAGGTCATACATCAGCATGCCTTCTTTGACAGATGATCAACACATTTCAGCTTCTTATTAGTATCAGGTAATAACATATAACTATTTTTAAAAAGTTAGTCTTTTTATTTACCATTATTTTTGCAATCTTTTTACAATTTATTAAACTTTTGAAGATGAAATTGAAGGCATTTGACATTCAAAATGGATTTTGGATTATTTTGTAGGCAGCATCTGAGCGTATAAAGGCTAGTGTGGAGCCAAATCTTGAACAATATAAACCGATGGTGTTGTCTTATTTTTCATTTTCCATGTTTACCCTTAGCACAAAATTTATAGGTTAGGCTAATTGATTGTTTTACCATTTGCATTTATCCTTTCATTTGTTTTGATGTTTCTTAATTCTTTGATTATGTTCTCTACTTGCTTATGATGATTCCACATTTTCTTGAATCTTGATTATTATTTGTTTATTTTTTTAGGAGTTTCTATCAACGAAGATGGAGGTGAAGGAATAACAATGAAGATAGAAATGAATTGGGATGGAATCCCTAGTATATTACTTGATATCAAGACTAGACTAGGAGTTGGATTGCCTATACAAATTAACCACTGAGACATGTTAACAATTTGTTGGATAAAGGCAACTCTTTTGTGAAAATGGTATCTACTTTCATCCTAAGCAGATGCTTAATGTTGTTAACAGTTATGTAATCACGCCCATCTTGATATTATCCAAACCAGGTATATTTTATTCCATTTGGAGGGACCTGTACTCTTTTTTATTGCTTCACTTTTATCACCACAAATAGTCCCAGGTGTGTTAGCAGTGAATAATTAGAGTAGCAATTGAAATTACCAAACTGACCCTATAATTGGTTTTTGTTTTGTATGCAAAAATTTTGTAACACTTGCAAATTTATGGGCGAATATATATAATATCCACTATGGTTCTACTACTTTAATCTTGCATATACTAACATCATCTACCCACATAGTCTCTATAATATTATTGGCATCTTTTTTATGGAGTACTGACATATATATTAATTTAGGCTGCAGTTGCGATATTGACCTATGCTCAACAGCGTTTGGATGTACAACTTAAGGAAGCATGGTATATTTCAGGGACCCTGAAATCATTTACATTTTCTTATTTTCTCAAAATATTAAGTGTTAATGTTGCTTCCAAATACAAGGTATGAAAAACTGCAACGGTGGGATGATGTCCTTAAAGCATACACTACAAAATATGCTCAAGCAACAAGTCAACATCTTATCTTAGATGCTACACTAGGTATTATTCAAATATATCATGCCATGGGGTTATAGTATTTATATTATTATCATTTCAAGGTAATTAATTAAAATTTTTGTTCATTCTTAGGACGAATGAGGAGTCTTGGACACCTACTGAGCCAGCTGCTCGATTAGAAAAGGCACCAATGGTCTGCTCAAATTTATATCTCTCTCAACTCTCGAGCATCTTGGATTTCTTTTGCAATAATATTTTACCATTTTGTCCTTTGCTCAGGCTGCTAGTGTTGCTTGGAACATGGGGGAGTAGGATCAGATGGTTGAGTATGAATCAAACTGGATGATGGTGATGAAACTAAACTCAGGGTGTTAGGAAACACTACTGGCATAGGCGATGGTGGCAGCAATGGGACATTCTTCAGGGCTGTTATCTTAGTTCGTAGAGGAAAGGCGTTGTTTGGAATCAGGATTTGGATTTGGATTTCTTCACTTGTAAATGTATGTTTAGAACTTCAGATATTCACTTGACATGATTTTATTGGATGAAATTGATTTTTTTGGTATATATTTTTTTCTATATTTTTGTATTATGCGTAAAAGAGTATCGTAAAGGCACGTCGTATATGCAAATTGTAAATGGTTGCTAAAGTTTATGACACGTAAATGTGTGTCATCTTCATTTATGACAGGGGCTATAATGATACGCAATGTGTGTCCTAAACGCACGTCGTAAGGTTACGACACGCAAATGCCTGTCGTCTTCCTTTATGACAGGGCATTTGTAACATCCCGAAATATCAAGAGTAGAGTTGAAGGGCTAAAAGTGTAAATTGGGAAAGAGTGACTCGGCGAGTCCATGTGCGGACTCGGCGAGTAGAGTCGCGACTTGTTCGCGTGTTAAGTGGCCAACTCGGCGAGTCAGGGTAATGGACTCAGCGAGTAGGCACTGAGTGGAGAAAACCCTAATTCTCGGGGTTGAGCCTTATATAAAGATCATTATGTTTCCCTCTCAGCCTCTTTATCACCCCTTGAGCCCCAGAAACCCCTAAATCACGAAGAAGCACCATTGTTGGATGGAGTGGAGCTTGGAGAATGTATTTGTGAAGGAATTTTGGGAGATTGAAGGCTTGGAGCAAGGGGCTTTGTTTGAATTCGAGTCTCATTTCAATTAGGGCATTCCTTTGAGGTAATATCTTGTTTTTTTGAGCTGCTATTTCTTAGATGCATCATTTTGGGGATGTTGGAGATCATATCTTTGGATGTATTGGAGTTTAGAGGTTAGATCTGAGGTTGCTACCTCAGATCTGGAAGGGAGAATGTCTAGAGTGCATGAAAGTCCCTGTTTGTGAGTGGTTGATGGAGTCATCTTGTCCCAAATCCTAGCCCAATGTGCAAACGGCTTAGATCTCTTTGGATTCACGTAAAGTTTGCCACTTTACGTGATGGATGGGTTGTAGGAGGCTAGATCTATGTTTTGGATCAATTGCATGGCCTGGAGTGCTTCTGAATGGATTCAGAACGGTGGTACTCGGCGAGTCACATGGGTCGACTCGACGAGTTGCTTGCAGATGGCCTGGAACTCGACGAGTTGGAAGAACAACTCGGCGAGTAGGTTGAAGATAGCCTTGGACTCGACGAGTCCATTTGGACTCGGCGAGTCTTGTCGAAGAGTCCCAAATATTCTCTGGTAGAGTCGAGAATCGGTGAGTTGAGGGATGACTCGGTGAGTCAAGTGCGAGTGGACTCAGAGTTGTTGGACTCGGCGAGTCTTGGGGTGACTCGGCGAGTTAGGTCGCAGATTGAATGAAGTTCTGATTATGGGAACTCGACGAGTCACAGAGTTGACTCGGCGAGTAGGGTCAGTCAGGGGTTGACTTAGACTGAGGACTTTAATTTCGACCAAGGGTTGGTCGTTGACTTTTAGGGTTTGGTCAGCGATGTGGCCTTTGGGCCAAGAGAGAGGTAAACTAGTCTTTTACCCATGAGAGGGTGTTATGAGAGGATTTATTCTAGTCTCGAGAGTTATATTCATGAGAATATTTGCTTTACGTGTTAGGCGGTGGCGAGTTCGAGATTCCAGTGTGGGGATATCTGCTTTCTGCTTGCCAGGTGAGTCTTCTCACTATACTTTACCTTGAGTAGGTAACCAGAGTTATGTGTTCAGAGTATTTGTATGCTATATGTACGTGATGTGTTGTACTGCATTATTTCTATGTGATTTATGCTGTGCATGTTTATAGAGTTGGAACCGGAAGGTTCCCAGAGTTCGAGCCTGAGGGTTCACAGAGTTTGGGTGCACGGACCCATAGAGTTATAGCCTCGAGTGGCTAATATGTGTTATGTGTGGTATTTTGGGGAACTCACTAAGCTTCGTGCTTACAGTGTTTTGTGTGATGTTTTTTTCAGGTTTCTTTCAGTATCACGGGACGGCACCAGCTTGATTGTACACACCAGAGAAAGAGTCATATTTTGGAGGATCCTGGTTTTCTATGCAAGTGAAAATGGAGTCATGTTTTGTAAATCGACTATGAATGAGATTTTAAACAAGTGTTTCTAAGAATAAAATGATTATTTTAAATGAAAAATTTGTCTTGAAATTTACGGTGTTACAGCATTCCTTGATACACATTTCATGTCATACATGAGCGTCATAAAAGCGTGTCGTAACTGTGCGTCGTAAATGCGCGTCGTCTATACATGACGCGCAAAAGCATGTTGTCTCTCGTTATGACAGGATCTTTCTTGACACGCATTTGCGCGCCATCTGAGCATTTTACGACACGTCTGCGCGTCGTAAAAGGTTGTTTTTCTAGTAGTGCTTCATCCTTTTTAGTGTAGGCTATGTTGTTGGGTTAAAACACAATCTAATTAGTGTTACTCAACTCACCGATGCACATCACCTAATTGAATTTTGCAACAAACATAACTACATCATGACAGAAGATTGGCCCAAATGTCTTATTCAATCGGATCAAAACAAGAACATGTATCCCTTAGATATCAACCTCATAGTCGGAAATGGTCCATGATGGTAAAAAAATTTATTTAATAAGTTAACAATCAAACTGTTAAAGTTAACGTTTTTTTACCTAAAATACATAATGCATCCAATATTTGACCACTGATGCACTACCAAATATTTTTAAAACAAAACCACATAATTTTAATAATCGTAGAGACCACTTTTACAATTTTGTCCATTATAAATTATTAGTATTTATTTGACAAAATATAATATTGATATGAAAGAAGAAAAACATATTTTTGTTAACTCATATAGAGTTAATCGTATTCCAAAATTTATACACTTTGTTCGTTCCAAAACTTAACCCTTCAACGATATGAGGAGAAACACAATTTCAACCCATTGAATATCGCAAGACCTAAACCTTTTGGTAGGAAATTAAACATATGTAGCTAGCAAATATGGTGAATCAACTCAAATATGACTTTTTTGAGTCTTAAATTAATTATGTCATTAGGGTAAATATATGTTAAAATGATCTTATGTATAGATGTAATTGAGTCAAGGTAATTGAGTCAACTTAAAAAAATACTGAAATTTGATTTGGATCAAATCGAGCTTGATCTCAAGCTCGAGTCAATCATTTCATCGAACCTAGCACTTGAAATACTCACTTCGTTAAGTTCACAAACTTATTCATATTACATGTTCGAACTGAAATAAGTGGAATTTGCGAGTTTAATCATATTTTTACTGCATTTTAATATAATTATATTTTTTAATACCTGTATTTATAAAATTACGGGTTATTATATGTTTGGGATAAAAGTTGAAACATCCTTGTTAGACGCATTGTTAGCTAAATGGGCTAACAAACATGTCAAAAACCGGATATTATTTAACAAGTTCGATCCCAAATTTAAAAACTAAGACAATAGAAAATTCAAATCTTAATAATCAAGCATGTCAAAAATCCGATATACATAAATGGCTTGTTGTATTTTTCTTTGTGAAGATATACATATTTGTATTACAAAAAGTAGTTCACAAAACTTTCATTAAACAATAGTTTAAAGTCTGTTTACCAAAAAGTAAAAATTCATTAGATGTTATTGACAAAAACCCTAATAAAATTTATATATTTGTCTATCGGTCTTGTTCAATGACAAAAGAAACTAAAATCAAACAGTTTCTTCTATATTTTAATAAATAAACAAAGGAAAAGTGGACTCTAAATATTTTAATTCCAATTTCCAATCTCGTGAACCGAGGAATAGGACGTATTGTCGTGGCCAACGGACAAAGAATTTAAATTCCCGTGAAGAAAAAAAAAGCCTCTTTTTAAAGACAAAAACGTCCCTTTTAGCTGGTAAACAAAAGAAAAACGACAGCGA